TCTAAGATATACCTAGGTTGACTTTGGTTTCTAAGACTATCTAGAAGACCTCTAAGATAGCTTAGAAATAGGCCTTGCGGGTATAATCATGAGTATTCGGTGGCCTGGGTTAAAACGTACGTACGGGATCTACAAACCAAACTTGAGGCACTCGTTTGGGGATACCACCCAACCCGACAGTGAGCATTTCGGATCCGCTGTTCGGTTTTTGGATGACCTTAATCGAAGGTAAGCTTAAGATTTTGGAAACCCTTCATCTTAAACTAGGCCTAGCTTAAGGATTATTTAGGAGTACCTTAAACTGGAATTTAGTTTAATTATATTAAACTAGAATTCGTTTAAGAGTTGGTAAACATCAAATAGATTGGCCTTAGACTAAGAATAGTTTAAGGATATTGTTGAATGACAAATGATGAATATTGTATGATGTATGTTGAATAAAAATGTTGAATATGAATGATGAATATACATGTTGAATAATTGAATAATGGATGTTGAAAATTGTATATTGATTATTGAGTATCTGAACTGAACATTATGTGCATGATATCAAATGGTTGATTATGAATTGAGATTCAATTTATGTGGATGTTCGACGCATTAGATATGCTTACTCAGCTTTACCGCTGAGCGTGTAGTATGTTTTATTTTCTACACGCAGGTCAATAGAATAATGTGACGTGATCCTGGAGGCAGACGGAGGCGAGATAGTCGGAATGGATGTGATGGTTTTGAATTAAAGAATATAAATAAATTATTTTTGTGGTTATAATTTGTTAAGCTTCCGCAATATTGAAAACTCTGTACTGTTTATGATATGAAAAATATTATTGTGATAAATAAAAGTGTTCGAAATGTTTTAAATTTTACGATTACCAAGTTAATACTTTAGTCCGAAAGGGGCTGCAGACCTGGACGGATTAGGGTGTTACAGTATCAAATCTGATTCCAGTTTGATCGTTGGACAAGTGACCGGTAACATGGAAGCCAGAGAAGGGCGAATGGCGCAATACAAGGACCTGGTGCTTGCCTTGTTGAAAGGCTTTGAGGAATTCAAGATCGCCCAAATCCCCCGGGCGGAAAATGCAGATGCGGACCTTCTCTCCAAATTGACGCAATATGCTCCCGAGCATGTTTCAAAACTTGCCCGGGTAGAAATTCTTGATCATGCCAGCATCGAGAAACTGGAAGTAGCTGCCATAACAGGGGAAGCCCAATCTGACCGGTCAAACTTGGTCGGGGCGGATGACCACTGGATGTATGATCTGATGGAATATCTGATGGACGGGACCTTGCCGGAACAAGATGACCGGGCAAGAAAAGTGAAGCTCAGGGCGCCCCGGTTCCAAGTCCTTGACGGAAAGCTGTACAAGAGGGCGTTCGGGGGACCCCTCCTGAGGTGCCTAACCAACCGGGAGGCTGAACGGGTCATAGCAGAAGTCCATGAAAGTGTATGCGCGGCATATCAAATGTCTCGCACTCTTTCCCAGCGCATCATCTTGTTGGGGTATTACTGGCCAACAATTGTCCAGGATTGCGAGAGGTACGTCCAGAAGTGCAGAATGTGCCAAGTGTTCTACAAGTACCCCAGTAGGCCGGCAACCTACTATCACCCCGTATCAAATGTCATCCCTTTCGCTAGATTCGGGTTGGATATCATTGGAGCGTTCCCAATCGCCCAAGGAAGGAAGAAGTTTGTAATCGTAGCCATCGATTACTTCACCAAGTGGATTGAAGCTGAAGCGCTAGCCAATATCACCACGCAACAATGCAGGAAATTCATTTGGAAGAACATCATCACAAGGTTTGGGGCTCCCATGAACCTAATCACCGACAACGGCCCACAATTCCGAAATCCAAGATTCACCGAATACTTGGAGGGCTTTGGAATTAAGCACAACCGTTCTTCGGTGGCCTACCCCCAAGGAAATGGCCAGGTGGAGAATGCCAACCGAACAATTGTGGATGGTCTAAAGAAGCGGCTGGGAGAAGCGGGAAACAAGTGGCTGGAAGAGCTCCCCCACATCATATGGGCGTTCCGAGTAACACCCAGGAGGGCTCATGGGGAAACTCCATTCTCCCTAACCTATGGGTGTGAGGCAAGGCTACCCATCGAAGCTGAATTCCCAACGTTCCGGGAATCAAATTATCAGCCCCAGCAAAACGAAGAAGACCATTTGGCCGAGCTCAACTTGGTCGAAGAACGAAGAATGGCCGCGGAGGTTAAGATGAGCGCATACCAACAAGTTGTGAAAAAGTACCACGACAACAAGGTTGGGCCGCGATACTTCCAAGTTGGAGATGAAGTCCTACGAAGAAGAGAAGCAAGTAGACCAGGCGATGGGGGAAAGCTGGCCAAAAACTGGGAAGGCCCATACCGGGTGAGAGCCATCGTTCGCCCGGGAACCTACTGGTTGGAAACTCTAGATGGTGTACCGGTAGAAAGAACTTGGAATTCCCACCATCTTCGCAAGTTCTACAAATGATTGTAATACTAGGCGAGGCCTAACTACATTATCAATCAAAACGATGTTCGATACTCTACGTGGCAACAGCAAAAATGATAGGTCAAACCTATCCTAGGAGGGCTTCCCGGGTGGATCGAATCCACTTGGATAAGCCAACTGAGACACAGGCCCGGACCTGGCACGCTGGTTACTACACCGGTCTTGCTCAGTATAATAGAAAAAATATTAAACCCAGAAGAGGGGCCCGGAAGAGGGTATGCCTGCAAGAGGGCTGGACCTGGAAGAAGGTTCGAACCATACTTACACAGGCCCATGAGGTTTGACCGGTATCGGGGAATCAGCCGGTATCGTCAAATTGATTGGGGACTAGAAGATGCCCATTAAAAGAAATAGAAGGGGATCGTCCACCGTGGCGCATCCTGTTTCCCCCTTCTCAGGGAAGACTTGAACGGGGGGGTGAGCTAAGGCCTTCCCGGGATGGTAGAAATCAAAGGGCCATTAAAAGACTTAATCACCCGGAAAAGGGGGCCCTGGAAGAAGGGTGCATTTGAACCTTGGAGAGGGTTCGAAACCATTCGACATGGTTAAATCTCCAGTATTCTTACCGGTTAAGGATACTTCAAGAATGGCTAGGTTATAGGTGCTTCCATCTACAACCTACCGGTCAAAAAAAAAAGGAATACCCCGGTTGGGTATTGATACAGCGGAACTTCGGAAGTTCCCCAAGGCAAAGCAGTTGACCGGTCGTACCATGAGGTGGGAACGCACCGGTCATACTCTACTTCATCGAACGAAGGTATCCAAAAGCCAAAGGTAAGTTCAGCCGGTCAAACTTTTTAAGTTGAAGTTCAACCAGGCTGGACTTAGCATATTCAAAAACAAGCCAAGAAAGCGAAACTGAAGTCCGGCCGGTCAAACATTTTTTCAAATTGACCATCAAGTTGGAGTTCAACCGGTCAAAGTTACTCGAGCTGATCCTTCAGATAAAGTGTTCAAAGAAAACTTTGAAGTTCTACCGATCGAAAACGATTGAGAGACGGCCCGATTTATGTACCGGTCAAATATTCTACGATGGCATTATAAGGAACAAAAGTAGCATATCAATCAAGGATCAAGCACATATGGAAGATTAACCGGTGAGCAAATAGAACTTGGCATTCAAACAAAATAGGAGATGTCAAATGCTTACAAATTCACCGGGCATACCCGGGAGAATTTCAAGTTTACAAAATGACTTAACCGGTCGCAGCCGGGGAGATTCCTCACTCTAAGGGGAAAGGGGGAGCAGGTTCATCGTCCGGGATGAGGGCCAGGCCGTATGATTCAGCATTAAAGTCCGGGTCACGTTCAGCAAGGACCGCATGCGTGGCCTCCTGGTCCCGTTTTTGGCCGGACATAAAACCGTAGGAGCCGATTTGGGTGATGATTTCTTTTCCCTGCTCCTCCCGGTACAGCAGCTTGAAGCCTTCCACCGTCCTTTCCTCAGAAGAAGTGAGTACCCGGGCAGCTTCCACCAGGTTGTCCTCCATCCACTGCCTGGCCCTACCGGGGAACTCCCGCTCCTTCAGCTCAAGATCCTCCATCAGCTTTAAGTTCTCCTCCTTCAGCTGAAGGGTCTCTGCCTTGGCCCCCTCGGCAATTGCAGAAAGATCAGCCATCTCATTTGACTGCCGGGAAGTCAGCTCCTTGAGGTCCCGGTTATGAGCCTCACATCTCTTCAGCTTCTCCTCCAGTTGGGCTAACCGGGAAGAGGAATCTTCAGTGAGTTGCTCCAAGACGTCCGGCCTAACTTCACCCATCTGCATATTGAAAAGAACACCAGTTAGTGTGAAGATTAAGTGGCAAGAGGAGGTACCGGTTAGTACGAAGATTACCCCTTTCAGCTTGAGGGTCAGTTTGACCCAAAGCTCTTCCAGCGACTCCTCAGCCGGGGTACTTTCCCCCCTTCTCTTCTTGGCCGACGGATGGTTGGTGGCCGCATGTTTCACCCTCTTTTTCCCCTTTTCTTTGTTGAGGGGGGATTCGCCGGTTCCTTCCCGGTTTGAGAAACTCCCCCGGTCTCAGGGGTTTCCTCTTCAGACCGGTTGTGCTGCTGAGGTATGTGGACCGGCCGCTGAAGAAGATCCACCAGTAGTCTTCGGCATGTTGTAGGCCCTGAAATTCATGTCTACAAGAAGCAGGCAAAACTAGTGAGTATTCGAACTCTGACCGGTGAGAATGAACGACAAAGAAGGAGAGATACCTGGGTGGCTTGGGCCCCCGGCCTCAGCAGTATTGCCCGAGGAGGGTACCCCGTGCCCCGCTGCCTCATGGGCCCGAGGGGTACCCTTACCACCCGGTTGGATCCTCCAGATCCAGGCCCCATAGTGGAACATCTGCCCGGTGAAGGGGTCCCCCTGTAGAAGTTTCTCCAAACTTTCCTCCAAGTCTGGAGCGCTAGCCGGCTCAGCGTATTGAGACTTGAGGATGTGATCGTTCCACTTTATACCGGCCAAGGGAGAATCGTTGGGGAATTTTATAAAGACAAATCTCTCCTTCCACTGCCGGTTGCTTTGGGGAAGGTCTGAGATAAATTGACGGCCGTTGCGGCCTCTGAAGTAGACATAACCGTCACAACCCGATTTACCGGGGAGGACTTCAAACAAGAAAAGAAACAGACGAAGGGAAGGATCGATTTTGAGCTCAACGCAGATATTTACAAAAGCATTGAGGAACCGGTGGGCGTTGGGCGTAATTTGCCCGGGAAGGATTTTGAAACAGCGGCACAACTCGATCAAAAGGGGACGAAGGGGGAAGACAGTACCGCTCTCTAGAGAAACTATATGGAAACCTAACCTATCATCCCGGTGGGGTTCAATAATATTAGGCCAGGTGGGGTCATATTCAAGAACATACCCTGCAGGGAGATTCCTACGGGCTTTGTTCTGAGCAATCTTGGAAACCCGGGGGACTATGTCAGCGGGGTAGCTGGTAGGAAGGGGAGAATAACCGGCTGCATCTAGCCGGTCCACCCATTCCTCATACGTTTCATCGTCAGGGTCATAGGGAGCCGGCTCGTCTTCGACCGGTGCATCCCTCTCCTGAAATACTTGACCGGGCATCTGATTTACCGGCCGCGGTTCAGGGATGCTAGAGCTTGGAATCGACCGGGTCTGAGGGATGGGAGAAGACGACCCGGTCGAAGAAGAAGAAGACAGGGATTCCTCAGATGCATCTGAGGCGGAGATGTCCTGACTATCGGAGGAAGACATTTACCGGGAGGGAAAATGAAGAAAGAAAGCTAATAAAAGAAAGGAAGAAAGCTTACTTAACTCGGAGGGCTAGGAAGCTAGAGCGGAGAGGTTGACCGGTGGAACTCAGGAAGGTCGCACGAGAAGAAGTGAGAAAGGCAATGGGGTTGAAGCCTTTATATAGGCGAGGGGAAAGGAGAAGGAGGCGACGTGGCCTCACCAGGGCGCGCCGCGTCAAGCGGCGCCATCATTGCGCCTGGGAAGACGAAAGGGCGCAGGTCTGACGCCGTCCAGCAGGCCGCACGTGTCATAACTGACACTTAAATTTCGAATTCAAAAATTTTGAGCGGGAAAGGCCAAAATTTGAATTTAAAAGCTCTGTTTCAGATTTTTTTTACTTCCCGCTTATGACAAAATTGCATAACCGAGAAGTGGAGGGCTTATTGATGGGTGTATTTCACCCAAGACCGGTCAAAGGTTAGGACCGGATAGTTGACCGGTCAAAGAGGTCAAACTCAGGAGAGAGATCTGAATCGTTGGCAGATGGACGACTGGTTGACCAAGAAGTTGACCGGTACAATTCGGATAGTATACCGGTCGGTTAACTCCGATCCATCGTCAGGAACCAATTCCGAAGTCGATTAATCCAACCTTCAGTAATCAACCGGTGCAGCTTTTAGAGATTGGGGATTGTCGGCAGGAGGAATCCAAAAAGGACTTGNCAGAGCCAGTCACCTCACACCACGCCAGCAGCATGCCCCCACGTGGGCGCACGTGGTCCTGCCCCCCTAGCCTAGTATATATACCTCTTGTAACCCTCGAAGAAGGGGATCGGAATTCACTCTCTCTAGACTCCCTTGTAAAAGTGACCGTGCATTCTCTATTTTAATATAATCCAGGCTACAGGTGTTCCACCTAAAGTCCTACCGGTCATTCTGAGTGTTTTTACTTCCTTTACTTTACTGAATCAAGCCAACTATTCTAGACCCGATCTAGTATAGTTTGACCGGTCAAGTAATTTACACCATCAGGTACCATTACTGAAATTTACTCATTTATTATCGAAAACATGGAGTATTTTTTGGAGTAATGCTAGAGTCACAAACAAACAGCTCACAAAATTCACAAACTTGCCTTTTTAACAGTTTCCTAGAAATAAGATGCACCTAAATAATAAAAGATATTTTTATTTAAAATCCACAAAAGGAAAGTTTGTGGAGTTTGTGACTCTAGCATTTTCCTATTTTTTGACACGGATGGTATGTTTTCTCTCCCATCCACACCTACCAATTACCAACTTATCCCTATCCTTATCCAAAATCACAACGAACAATCTCCATAAAATTCCTCCCCTCCGCTTTGATTACTCTAGTCCCCTCACCGAGAAGATTTCCATCTTTTATTATTCTCTTTGTCCAAAAATATTCTTTTCATTTGACTTTTTACGATATTCAATATTATATTTTTTAATATTATATTTTGACCATTATTATCTATATTTATACACACATACTACCTCCGTCCCACTGTCTTTGTCAACTTTTGACTTTTGGAACTGTTCATCTAAGCACTTTGACTCATCAAATTTTCTCAATGTGTAAGCCTAAAAATAGTCATGTGTGATCTTGTTTGATTCGTCTTAACATATAGATTATTAATATATAATTTCTATAATTTTTTAATATACAAATTACAAGATAAAATGGATTAAAGAAGTGCATTGGATGGTGTGCCAAAACGTAAGTGGACAAAGACAGTGGGACGGAGGGAGTATATTTTATAAAAATTTGATATTTAAAAATTATGTTTCAATAGGAATACATTGATATTAAATTTATATCATAATACAATGTATTTTTTTTAAACATATCGAAATTAAAAATTTTGACTAAGAAAAATCAAATGGGAAGAATATTTACGCACAGAGAGAGTACTTGTTTTCTTCATTTTATTAGAAACTTTAACTTTTTCTAACACAAAATAAATGCACACTCTTGAATTTTCAAAAAAGCGGTGTGAACTTCACAAACTTACTATTTGCGAACTTCAATAAAAAATTAAATAATCTAATGGTATGTTTGGGAACATGGATTTGGATTTTAATAGGCCTAAACTGAATTTAAGGTACAAACCCTTTGAATTCGTAAAACTTAAACCTAAACTTAGTTTAAGAAATGTAAGTTTTGTTTCGAATTAAACTTTAAGTACGTGGAGGAGATCAGTAAACTTTAAGTCCTAAAGTTTAAAACCTTAACTTTACGTACTTTTGAAATGAAATGCTAGTTGCCAAACACTACCTAAAATAATTTTAAAATGAGAATTTAAACGGCTCAAGTTCGGTCGGTGGGTGAGGACGACGGCTGTAAGCAGGTGAAATTGGCAATAACAAAGATGAGATCGGAAGCTCTGGATTGGAAGGAGACCGAGGTACGGCCGGTGGCTTAGGACGACAACTGTAGGCAAGTGAAATTGGCAATGTTAGGATTGCAAGGAGGCCCGGTGAGCTTTGGTTGTCTCGCTGTGTTTTGAAGGTAAAATCGGCGATATGAATTGATGATATCGGCAAAATAATACCGATTTCAAGATGCGGCCTTTTAAGAGAATTTGGATATCTCCCGATTTCAGTTATAAATTCCTTTTTACTCTCACCAAACATATATATTTTGAAAACTTCATATCTCACCTATCGAAATCCATATCTTTCTTTCTCTCCAAACAGGCCCTTAAGCAGTTACATAAAGTGTCAATAGTCAATACACATTAAAGTCTTGCAAGTTTATCATAGTTTTCATACTAATATATTACACAAAAGCCTTTCAGCTTCACCATATATTTCAATACACCCCCAAGTTTGATTTAACCATCAGTCATGGAGTAGCAGATAATTTACAGAGAAAGGAATCATGCAGCTTCAGCAAAACCCAGCTGCAGATTGCCGTAGTCGAACACGGTGTGATAAACTCCCATGAATACATCTCCAAGAATCCTGCAACAACACACATATTTTTTTCTAATATCATCTTAAGTTTTCGAGCAACTTGACAAAGCACATGATGTATAGTCATGCATGCGCATCTATGTGTGCACGCCATGTGAAAATGAAAATGGTGTTTGGATATGACTTACCAAAGAGGACCGCGAGGTGGGGGCACATCCAAAGCAATGAATCCACTGACGCAAATGGTAGCAATCCCTTCTCCTGTTTTGAGGATATACTGCGGGTAGATGAGGAAAGGAAGTTCGAGATGATATTCGGGCCGCACTGCTGCAGGATTTTGGGGGTATGAATAATCAAACCAAACAAACCCTACCACTGAAGAGCTTGGACCCCATAGCATTAAGGGCAGTTTGCCGAATTACCCATGGTTTATGGTTATTTTGAGGACTGCTATCACATGTTTGATCAGGGGATTATGGGTGTCATGAAAGTCGGATTAAGGAAATTTTACATAGAATGCACCATAGCATTAAGGGCAGTTTGCCGAATTACCCATGGTTATTTTGAGGACTACTATCACATGTTTGATCAGGGGATTATGGGTGTCATGAAAGTCGGATTAAGGAAATTTTACATCGAATGGACCATAGGGCAGTTTGCCAAATTACCCGTGGTTATTTTGTGGACTATTATAACATGTTTGATCAGGGGATTAGAGGTGTCACGAAAGTGGGGTTAAGGAAACTTTACTTAAAATGCCTATTGGGTAGGAAGTGTGAGCAATTGTCACTTCCAAATCTGGTAAGAGCAAAATCACACTATTATCATATACTTATATAAGACACATTCTTTCTCTTCTTTCTTTTATGCATACATTTTGTTTCATTTAAAATGTATTCTCAAGATATATCAAAAGAAAATTCCCTAACTGAACTATAGAGTATTTCTCCCAGTGAAAAATCCAACAAACCATGAGTACATTGAGATACGAATATAAACCTAATGCAGAATCTCCATTATATTCCTGATGCGTGTCTCATCGTAATTTAAAATGTTAAATTTTTTTGCCACAAAAATGCATTAAAAATTAGGGGAAAGGGTTTACCTGCTCTGGGGTAAGGACAAAATCTTTGTCAGCAATTTTGAGTGTAACATTTGGCATGTTCGATACACTGTTGCAATCAATTGTTGATTCCCCCATTGGACTAGGAATTTTCTCACATAGCTGCCAGACATGAAAAAATATTTTTATACAAGAACAATGATTTTCATATGTGCTGCTTCTTCCAATTGCATGTGAATTAAGGCTCACCTGATTCACATATTCAAAAACTTTCTCCTTCACCACCTTTTGCTTCAGCTGGTTCTGCATCCATACAACAGCCATTTCACAGGCTGTGCACAATGGGTCATTGGAGGATTTCTCCTCATTATCCTTGTCAACCACCATTTGGATATTAGAACTGCAAGAAATCAAGTTTATGCAATGCTGAGTGTTTTAATAATAATAATAATAATAATGAGCCATTGTTTAAACCCTACTTGGGACAGAACTAAAAGACACTCAATAGAAGAAAAATTACAATATTCTAATGCACTAGTCTACCTTATTTGGGTAGAACTTAACATTCTCCTTACACCCCATAAAGATAGGCTTGTATGTTATGTACATGAGAGTCAAGAAATGGTCTTCAAGTTAGCTACAACATTTAATTTTATATGCAATTCTCTTTTTTTACCTTATGGCAGAGTTAATGAATGTAATCTTGCAAATTTTGAAATGAAATGCTATTAATTAAAGGTAACCTTGGAAATAGAAAACTGAATTCAATGTAGAATTAGATTATCCTCGTGGAAAGGACAAAAATGGAACACTATCCAACCTATGTGGGATGGAGGGATATAGAAGGTAATTGATGAATATTGAGATACTACGAGGCTAGTGAGTGGTACTAGTAAGCCGCGCTCGATAACGGAAGCAAATATAAGAACCAAAGAGGCAAAGACCAACTAATGCAATAATATCTCTAATGTAA